AGTGTAGATCTACAGTAGAATCACTAGAAAGTTCCTGGGAGTGGTTCAGGACACCATTGGAACTGTCTGTATCGTTAATTGTGGGTCACGGCAATTAGCCCTGGTTGTGTGGTACAATTCCTTGTCTCTTCTAAGTGGCTCTGTGACCTATATTACATGTGTGAGATAACAGTGTACTTCCATTCAAAAGGGTACAAATCACTCTTCGTTTGTTAATTATTGCAGCCACCGCCACCACCCACCAACCCTCCTTCTCTCCCCCCCCCCCTCCCCCCCTCCTTCGAATCTCTAATATTGCTTTCAGTGACAAATGGTATTGATAAATAATTACTACCAGAAATACAATGTAGATGTTTGAGAAGCTTATCTTTGAATGAAATCTTGTTAACTTCTAGTTAATTAATTAAAGTTAATTATCATCTTATAACAGTTGACCTTTATCACATCACCTTGACCTCTGATACATGAACTTTGGCCTGATGGATTTGATTTGTGGCTTCATGACAAATCACCTTTATTCACATCTTCATGACCTCTTGATTCTCTGGCTATTGTATCACAAACATAATGAAGACCATGAATGGGAATTGGTATAAGTGATAATGAAGACACGTATCCCCTTGCGATAATGCTGAGACTACCACCATCAGAGGTCATTGTAGGTGCCATGTGCATGCAACCAACATTTTGCTCCATTATTTCTGGTCTCCAATATTTGTCCAGAAGTTTACAAATATAAAAATCACTATATTATACATTTTGTATAGTGGAACATATAATGAGGTTATATAATGTAGTGAAATTAATCTTAATGCATTTAACATTTTAAAATATCACTTAAGGTGAATTAGTGATGGCATGAGAAAAATGTTTAGAGCTTCAAATAAAATTATAAGACATCATTCTATCTTTCAAGAAGAAGTGGTATCTGAATCTGTTATAGATGTACGTCTGTCACTGTCAGTGAACCGACCCCATTATATCACACCTGGATCATAACACTAGCGTAATTAAATTATTCAGCTGCTTCAGATACAGTATCCAGAGATAAGTGCTAGATGTCTGGAGAACATGTGCTAGAAATATACATTTCAGGTCAATAACACATAAAAACGTTATTATTGTTTGATATTTTGTTATATACTGTTGTATGAATCTGGTATCCTTATAATTACATCTTCATGTGTGTTTGAATTTTTGAATTGTAACTTTATATTTATTTAGCTCAGTTAATGGTTGAAGTTTTCATGCCTCATCAATACTGATGCAGTTTCCTTGCCTTGTATCGTTATTCATCCTTCCTTTGAGATTAACATTGTTTGTGTTTGTGTATGATATCGGGTCCATTACTGATCAATATCTATTTTAGGTTGTAGAAATGATTACGTCACCACAATCTAAAAGACAGTGATTAAATAGAAAAAATGAAAAATCTTGTTCATATCCAGAATTTACCCAATACATGTACTGAAATGAAAATCCAATATAGGAAAAAATTGGGCATGTTTACATCTAGAATTAACGCTGAATTGTAACGAAAAAATCAAAATAGGAAAATAATGGGTATGTTCATAATTATCTAGAACACCAATAATAGCCCAGGAAATATGATCTGTTTACCTTGGGGAACAATGACAAAGATATTGATAAATTTAAGATTGTCAAAACTCCGTTATGAAGATATAAAGATCCACACATTTTTGACACAGACAATTAATCTGTGCAACCAGCAAACAAGGTAGGAATTTATATAATGTCTTATCCCTTATATAGTCGACTATATCTAGGTCAGTCTATAGCCGGAGCTCCTCAACGAGATTCAAATTTAAAGATGATAGCTTTTTCTTGGCCAGATGTGGTTTGATAACAACCCAGTTTGAGAAGGAATACCATCTTTGTACAGTCACGGTCAGGGTTTTACTGTAAACTTCACCTTGATAACAGGACTGTTTGAGGAGTTCCCTAGGTTTACTATTACACCTGAATAACCTGTGTCACCCCACTGTTTCAGCAGGCATACTCTCTTCGTTCTGTCACAGTTTCACTTTAAACTTCATGGGAAATAAGCCTGTATGACGACATGTAATCTCTTCATACGGTAAAGTCAGGGTATTACTATAAACTACAACTGGGTAACAACTGTTCCCTATTCAGTCAGTTTTAATATGAACTGCATCTAGGTAATAACTGTTTGAGGAGGTATATCTTCTCTGCTCAGTCACAGTTTTAACTTGTAAACTATATATTGGAATCATGTTTATACAGTCCTGTTCCTGGTTTGTGTCCAGAGACTGATCTGGACCAGTATTTGTTTGTGTCCAGAGACTGGTCTAGATCTGGACCAGTATTGGTTTGTGTCCTGAGACTGGTCTGGCCAAGTATTGGCTTGTGTCCAAAGCCAGGTCTGGACCAGTATTGGTTTGTGTCCAGAGAATAGTCTGGACCAGTATTTGCTTGTGTCCAGAGACTGGTCTGGACCAGTATTGGTTTGTGTCCAGAGCCAGGTCTAGACCAGCATTGGTTTGTGTCCAGAGATTTGTCTAGCCCAGTATTGGCTTGTGTCCCGAGCCAGGTCTTGACTAGTATTGGTTTGTGTCCAGAGACTGGTCTAGAACAGTATTGATTTGTGTCCAGAGACTGGTGTGGACCAGTATAGGTTTGTGTCCCGAGACTTGTCTGGCCCAGTATTGGCTTGTGTCACGAGCCAGGTCTGGACCATTATTGGTTTGTGTCAGAGACTGGTCTGGAACTGTATTGATTTGTGTCCAGAGACTCATCTGGAACATTATTGATTTGTGTCCAGAGACTAGTCTGGACCAGTATTGGTTTGTGTCCAGAGCCAGGTCTGGACCAGCATTGGTTTGTGTCCTGAGACTGGTCTGGTCAAGTATTTGCTTGTGTCCCAAGCCAGGTCTGGACCAGTATTGGTTTGTGCCCAGAGAATAGTCTAGACCAGTATTTGCTTGTGTCCAGAGACTGGTCTGGACCAGTATTAGTTTGTGTCCAGAGACTGGTCTGGACCTGTATTGGTTTGTGTCCAGAGACTAGTCTGGACCAGTATTGGTTTGTGTCCCGAGACTGGTCTGGACCAGTTTTGGTTTGTCAGAGCCAGGTCTAGACCAGCATTGGTTTGTGTCCAGAGACTTGTCTGGCCCAGTATTGGCTTGTGTCCCGAGCCAGGTCTGGACAAGTATTGGTTTGTGTCCAGAGACTAGTCTGGACCAGTATTGGTTTGTGTCCCAAGACTGGTCTGGACCAGTATTGGTTTGTGTCCAGAGCCAGGTCTGGACTAGCATTGGTTTGTGTCCAGAGACTTGTCTGGCCCAGTATTGGCTTATGTCCCGAGCCAGGTCTGGACCAGTATTGATTTGTGTCCAGAGACTCATCTGGACCAGTACTGGTTTGTGTCCACAGACTGGTCTGGACCAGTATTGGTTTGTGTCTCGAGACTGGTCTGGACCTGTATTGGCTTGTGTCCAGAGACAGGTCTGGACCAGTATTGGTGGTTTGTGTCCAGAGACTGGTCTGGACCAGTATTGGTGGTTTGTGTCCCGAGACTAGTCTGGACCAGTTTTGGTTTGTGTCCCGAGACTGGTCTGGACCAGTTTTGGTTTGTGTCCAGAGCCAGGTCTAGACCAGCATTGGTTTGTGTCCAGAGACTTGTCTGGCCCAGTATTGGCTTGTGTCCCAAGCCAGGTCTGGACCTGTATTGGTTTGTGTCCAGAGACTAGTCTGGACCTGTATAGGTTTGTGTCCAGAGACTGGTCTGGAACCGTATTGGTTTGTGTCCAGAGACTAGTCTGGACCTGAATTGGTTTGTGTCCAGAGACTAGTCTGGACCAGTATTGGTTTGTGTCCTGAGACTGGTCTGGACCAGTATTGGTTTGTGTTCAGAGACAGGTCTTGACCAGTATTGGTGTGTGTCCAGATACTGGTCTGGACCGGTTTTGGTTTATGTCCAGTTACTAGTCCGGACTAGTATTGGTTTGTGTCCAGGGACTGATCTTTACCAGTATTGGTTTGTGTCCAGATACTAGTCCGGACCAGTATTGGTTTGTGTCCAGAGACTTGTCTGGACCAGTATTGGTTTGTGTCCATTACCATGAGCTCAACCAGTCCCTCATGAATTGAAGTCTAAAGTGTATATAATAACAAAACTTTTTTTGTTGATTTCTCGTCTGATTTTGCCTTTACATAAGAAACCCATTGTGACTCAGTGACTTGAAAGATTTCTGTATGGAATGTTGTCCTTTGACAGGGCCATCTGTCGAGGGTTGTCTGTCTGGAGGCACTCACAACAGCATTTAAAATCACAAACCAATATCTGTAATCATGGTATAATGAACTCATTATTAATGAAGATCAATTAAAAAAGTAGCTAGAAGGTAGAAATGTTACCTTTGAAAGGTTAAACTTTGAGAAGACTAGTAAATTGTTATTGTAGATTGTTCCGAATGTTGTTTTTTTTTAGTTCATGATAAGAACGATAGTTGTTTCATATTTAAAAAATAAAGTTAACAATTTAATGAGGTCATAAATTAAAAGGTTCCACTTACATAATTATCTATGGAAATAATTATTATTTATACAATTTATAGTTTTATCCCCTGTATGAAAATGCCCATTCCATGATGTGTGTACAGTACTTTTCTTGTTTACTGTTAAGATCCTTCCTATTTTGAAGGTCAAAAGATCATATGAGAATAGGATTGTCATATCATCAACATAAAACCATGAAAAGTTAATCCAGCTAATCATGATTTTTTTTATAAATTACTAGGTTATTTTTACCCTTTTTTCAGGATTTTAAATTATTTTTTCTGGATTAATGAAAATAGAATATAGGTATATTGAAAAATGGTTCAGTTTACAATTATTGGTGCCCTGAATGTTGAAACAGAGCTACAGAGTCTGGAACAATATCTGATACACTGACTTCCTCATGTATATCAAGACTGAATTCATTGTTTAATTGTATTATAAATGAATTTCCTCTTCAGATTGAAAAGCCCCAGACTGTAGGACTTTCTTACAACACAAATGACCAATGGGAAATCCCCAAGTCGTCGCTCAAACTCATACGCAAGATTGGACATGGCCAGTTCGGAGAGGTCTGGGAGGGACTCTGGAACAACACTACACCTGTCGCCATCAAGACCCTCAAACCAGGTAAGTAAAATGACGTCACACCAGGTTGATAAAAGGAGGCATAAAATACCCAGGTAAATAAACTATGTCACCTCTTCATTTTAAAAGAGACTTTCTTGACCTGAAGAATTTTTCATAGAGTCAAGAGTCTTTTCATCGTCCAACCACATCATTGAAAATACCCTTGACTGATTTTAATAGATACTTGTTTAAGACTAACATCTTCATATGACCACAGTACAGCATGCATGGAATTTGTGACATAGTTATGCCATGCAAGAAAAAATTGTCATTCAAAGTTGTGTTATTAAATTTATGGAGAAATTTACCCATACAAGAAGTACCGTCATTACTTTTTCTAGTTCAACAAGTAAAGCTTTCTGTTGCTAAGCATTGTACAAGGCTGTATTAACGGGAAACGTACATGTTGAAGAATCTAGGTTAGGTTTGACAAACATCTGTTTCTTATCCTTGTGCAAGACCTCAACATGACCATTTTTGTTTGCAGTAATTGGGCTACGCTAGTAGAAGGGTAGTGTTTATGGAACTGACATGGACACCAGTCAATCTTCTGTGACAGACATAATTGGTTGTTTGCTTGTTGTTGTTGCATGGTTCTATACAGGCGTGTGCTATTATCAAGAGAGTAAATTAAATTGTACTGACAAATTGGTTTTATTCCTCCGATTGCTAACAAATTCATGAATACAATTATAAAAATGATAGAGTCTCCTTGGCAACAATAACATTAGATAACTGTCTACACTACACGGAACCCGCACTTCTAACCAAAATTGTAAAACGAATGTCCAATTGGTTTTTGGTTCCATACACATTTATAGTTGTCATGACAACCATTTGCAATGTCCATGATTGTGTATTTGTTTTCCGGTGCTGCTGGCACCAGCACTTTGGCGTTGAGAAGTGTACACACCTCTGACCGACAGTCTGCTGGGTAATGGTATATGGGTAATTGTTTGTCAGTCCTGCTGGGAAAGTAATGCAGAATATGTCTGTATGAGTTCTAATCTACTTTATGTATAGAAGGTCACACCTGGTCTCGTGTATGACAGATGCACTCTTCATAATCAGGCTACCAGTTAAATGTTTTAAAACCACACAATTGCTTGTTAGTGTACCTACTGTCAGTGCTTTTTCACTTTGTAAGTGGCTTAACTGAAACAAGCTTCATTTGTGTTATTGTCAGGTAAAAAGTATAAATTAGCATTCACCCTTACACACATTTCATTTTTGAGATGTCAATTTCCTTAAGGTAGCTATTAAGCTGCTCTTTATTTTGTCTTCACACACTAAATTTGACATTTTAACAAGAGCTACCTTGAAATAATGTATACACAATTAATTATACATAGACTTTGGTTAGAGGCTAGACACAAATTAACTCATTCACCCCTGAAGACATATTTGAACTCTTCCAATTCAATGGTTGGAATAGTTCATTATAAAATTTCAGGGGTGAATGAGTTTTAACTCTTGAGACCAGGAATCGAACCCACACCTACCAGCATACTGTTGTAAAAACACTTTCAAACACTGCAGACCTCACTGCCGACTAGGGCTGGTCCCTTAAAAGCATTTAGGTTTATCATGTGTTTGATCAGTGATAGAAATGTACTTTTTGGAGAGTTACATTTGCCAGACTGTTTAAGTTACAGTTGGCATTTCTACTGCCTCTGAGGCCACGAATGAATCACTGCAGTTATATGACAATGGGGATGTAATAAGCGAACGAGATGCTGGCTGTGACTGCCAGCACACTACAATGTGATTCAAGTGGAAAACTTCGGTTGAAGAAGGCAATTTCCTGCCCATATTAAGCCAGGATGCCCTAATAGCGACATGGGTGTATTATTAGCATTATACTCTGATTTCATACTGAGGAAGACCAAGTCATTTTTGGGTTTATGATTTTTCAATGTCAATAAATCCTAGATGAACATTTAAAAGGGTGATAATAATGGTATTACCGGGGAAGACTGGGTAATTTTTGGCTTTGCAATTTTTTCTGTGTCAATAAATCTTAGATAAAAATTAAAAGATGTATGCAAAGTCACTGTGAACATGTAGCTAGATATTTATGTCTAGCAGAATCATGCTGGTCATAGGATGATGTAATGGATCACATGTGCTGATGTAATATTTCTTATATTGACCGAGTTTTAATATCACCACTATGATCCCCACCCTCCTTCCCCAGGTTGTACAGCAACACAAATATCATGGAGGCAGGTGTGATTAATTTCTATTGATTTTATTGATGGAAGTATTTTTTTTACATTGATCGCAGAATTTTCATGTTTTTTTCATTTCGATTCATATCATGTGTATGAATGAAATGAAAATACGGTTAAAAAATCTCAGTAACAATTTAATTATCTTTCTGTTTTCACAACAATTTTTTCTGTAGCATTGATAAATGTAATGTAAGACCTATGCACTCATCGGAATTCTGTTGCATGGTATATTTCGCAAGGAAAATGATGATGATGATGAGTTTATATTGATTTCCGAAAACAAAAAACCTGAGAATAATATCATGACGAAGATATTCTTCCATTACATACACTGGTGACTCACCTGATGCTTTAATGTATAGCCCAACTGGCCGTTGTACAAAGCTGTTGTCGTCATTTTCATGTTTTATTAACGAATTCAGGCGGCAGACAATAGGATATATAGTGTTACTGTATCTGCTTCTATTTCCATGGCAATAACTAAACACACTACCCTTTGTATAAAATACTCTTTTTAAGGATGCACATATATTCTGGGGTCTTTCTTCCTCTATAAGTTTATGGCTTTAGATATCAATGAAAATCCCAATTTTTATCTTAGCCTGTGCTCATCAATTCATTTTAAAATATGATAATGCAGATTTGGAATAAATCTAGAACACAATCTCATTGTAATAAGATTTTACTGTTCACAGGAAGAAGTTAACTAGGCTTTAAGGGTTGCTGGTCCAGTACCAGTATTGTCTATGGCCAAGGCTATTTGTAGTTGTAATGAACAGGCGATGAGACAAAGATATATGGATCGGCTCAGAGGATTCTGTACAATAACTGGCTGGAATGTAATCACAATAACTCTGTTTTGTAGACAAGTTTTATGAGAGTAGTCGTCAGAAGCTGGTTTATTTCTATCTGTTGTTTCCTGATGACACTGTTACAAGCTTCATGCAATATTTACCTGTGGAATCGGGGACCTCATCCTTGAAGAAATATTGGCGCTTTGTTTTTCCCAAAGAAGACTTTATTATAGTTTCCTAGTCCTTCATTATGCATGATGTCCAGAGATTGCAAGTTGACTACCAGTGTGAACTTGTGGACAAGCTTTCCACTCCATGAAATAGATGCAACCTGTTTTGTTAGGGGGTCTAAAATAATTGTCTATGCATGTACATGTTTATAGCAGGGCTGCATATGGTGTCAGGACTTATGTTACATGTTTTATGTGATATGAAAGGGAAAAAAAGATGCATAGGACACACTCTTTTGAGCAATAAAAGGAGATCAAAATCTCCTTCACAAGGGGTGGAGCTAGCTGGTTTAATAGCATAGGGAAAATTGTTGTTTTCTTGGTATCTTTTTATAGAAGTCTCATACAAAATTCCAGGAAGACATGAATTTTTACAAATAAAGATGATGAAAGGAATGTATAGGTCTGCTGGTATCAAGACAAGTATACTGTGGTATCTTTATTCACCATCAGCTGGTCACTGGGTGCCCTCCATCCTTAGTGCCAGTACATGTACACCACCCATTGGGCACGGTTACCCTAATTGTATATATAATCAGTAGGCCTCCCAGAGGCCAAGGTCAACCCTAATCAGTAATAGATTGTCATCAAACTTGGTGTAATGAGGGTCAAGAGTTCTGTGGTGTCCTCTGTTTATGGTCAAGATCGGACAAGTTTAAAAGTGATGTAGCAGAATTTTTCAGACACATGAACATGATTGTAGCCAAGATACTGACACATGAAATTATACACCAGTTAAAGTTTTTGGTATATAAACCTGTACACAAGTAATTTTTAGTTTATCTATCTGTATTCAAGTTACTGGTACATAAAACCAAAGGTATCATATTTTGTATCGGGTTTTGATTGGAAGGTTAAGATATTAATTTTGTTCTTATTTTCTTATCCTGTAAAATTGTCATGAACAGTGAATGAATGCTGATAAGCTGTTCTTGAAATGCTCATAACAGTTCATGGACAATTCATGGACATTTAACTGGCACAAAAGTACATGTACACACTAAATCAAAAGTGAATCTGAAGAAGATGCTAACATAAAAAAATCTAACTTCTGGCCCTAAGAATTGCATAGTGCATGGACTGGATGCCAAATCATTCATGTCTGAAGTCAGTAGTAAGTTTTCGCGCAGATGTTGGCGTATACGTAGTAGCTACATTATGATTGAGATGGTATTTACTTGTACCATTATGTGCAGGAAAGGAAGTTCACGTATCCCTTTAGAAGGTTACATGATTGTTGTGTAACCATAGATATCATCATCCCAGTTGCAGCACATAATACAAGTAGGTACGGTAAATGTCATAAAATATAAACATCGGTAAATGTCGTAAAATATAAACATCGGTAAATGTCATAAAATATAAACATCGGTAAATGTCGTAAATAAGAAAGATTGTTATGTTAAACTGACCAGAACTAAGGTTGTCTTTGTGATGCCAATTTTTTGAAAATCTTATATTTCATGAAGATGACTATGTTATGATATTCTGATGAGTATGAAGGGAAAATGTTGAATTTTTGTTTAATTACTTTTTCAAAACATGCATAGGGGCAAAGATTTGAATGGATGTCTCAGTTGATCGCATGTTACATTTGTATTGCGACATCGCAACTTTCAATAAACGTTAGTGAAGGTGCAGCACAATTTTTATTTCAAAAATATGTTCAATGCAGGGAATATATCACTTTTGTCATACTGATAATATTTCATATTTCAATGGTAAAAATGGAATACAAAGAG